CCAGCGCCGCGGCCGGCGAGCCGGGGCGAGTCTGGGGGTTCCAGCCCCACGCTGGCGCCGGCGATCGTAGCCCCTCAGCAAACTGAAGGCGAGGCCGCGAGGTGACCGCGCAACGCGGACCCCTCCAGCTGCCACGGCCGGAGGTGAGCGTCGCGGGCGTTGGGCGGGTGAGGGCCAGGGGTGGTGGGGGTCGTTGAGTTGCGCTGAGCCGCCGCGCTCGTCTTTGTCTCGGTGATCCGCGGGTCCCTGGGGCTCGGATCCCGCGTCCGCCGCTCCTTAAGGTGCTGGTGGGCGTTGGACCGGGGCCCGGGCGAGACTCCTGCCCTGCCAGGTGAGGCCAGGCTGCGCGACTTTCCTGCGCGGTCTGCGCCCAGCGGGGGCTGGCCCGTGCTGGGGATGCTCGGAAACCTGGGCCCGCGCTCTCCCAAGGCCCACATTCCCAAGGGCGAACTGCAAAAGGGCAGACCCGAGAAACAGAGCATGCCTGTTTTAGGTGAGCATTTGGTTAAGTCCATTGTAGTCTCCCACGACTTAAAACACACACACACACAAACTATAGGTTTGATAGTCGCGTTGTCATGTTTAATTTCTTTTTTTCTCTGTGTCTGTCTTTCTTTACTTGTCAGCATTAATGAGCCTTAGGATGGCTCCCAGCGCTGGTTCGTTCCTTGGTAGGTAATTTGAGACAGTTAAGACTAAAGATAGGAAACTGAAAACTGACCGTCTGTGCTGATGGTGACGTGGAGCTATAAAACCTGACAGATTGTGACGTGAAAATTAGCTGCCTTACTTCATAGTGTCTCATGCGTGGTTTTGGAGTGTTTGTGAGTTTAATTGTAGTTTGAGTTTAATGGGTGGACGCTTTGACAGTTGATGTGCCCTTTATCTAAATATGCAGAACGTGGTATTGATTTAAAAGGCAGTTAAATTCATTGAAAAGTCAACACCTATGCATAACAGGAAAGTTAGTGCTAGACACTTGTGGAACTTGTGGAATGACCTGTAGGAAGGAGGGGTGATTAAGCACACAAATGCTAATCCAATATTAGCAGAAATTATACTAAATAAGCACTCTCTTAACCCTGGACTGTGGTTAAGTTCTTTACGTACATACTTTGCTTAATAATATTAGTTGTTAGCTAGATACACATTTTAATTACTTAGTTTGTTAAAAAATAGTTCCATTGTATGCTAACTATAGGATGGTTATTGTTACAGTTCTTGCCTTTAAGGACTCTACATTGTTTATTCTGGGAAAACATATTAAGCAAATAATCGCTTAAGTAAATGCCAGTAAGTCTCCATAGAAGCTAAAAAGAATGTCTTATATTGTGAGAACATATAACATGGGGACTTAACCTAGGCAAGGAAAATCAGTTAAGTTTTCCTGGGACAGTAATCTTCAAGTAGAGATATTATGGGAAAGTACGAATTAAATGAAGATGGCCTTCCTGGTGGTGCAAGGGGTTAAGTCTCAGCACTATGAAGCTATAGGTAGCCACACAGCAGTTCAATCCTTTGCCAGGGACCTGACCCACATGGTGCAGCAGACCTCTTCTGTCACTTCCACTGTTCCACTCTGCAGTGTATTTCAGTAGATCCAGCTGTTCTGCTTCCCCACTCTGTCTCTAGTGAATCTTCTCACCACACCCACACCCCACACCTCTGGTCTATAACCCAGTTCTTGTATGCATAAATGAATAAAAGCCAGAGATGCGGAGGGTGAGAGGATTCATCAGAGACAGAGTGGGGAGCAGAACAGGCAGATCAACGAAGTACACTGCTGAGGGGAGCAGTGGTCGGGTCAGGAGAGGTCTGCCACACCATGTGGTCTCCTCGGGCCAGGCCGGGATCGAACTCATGTTGAAGTGGCTTTAGCTTCTCAGTGCTGTGCTTTAACCTGCTGCGCCACCAGGGAGGGCCTAAAAGTAAATCTTAAAAAAAAAAAAAAAGTATTTGGTTCTGATGCTACCATAGTTACTTTGCTTTTCAGGCTTGGAAGTCTGATCCCATTCCATAGAGGAGCTAAATGAAAGGAACACTATGTGGAAATGTGATCTTTTGGTTAAAAGAAACCAAAAATCATTCCTATTCCCAGGAATGATTCTATCCTTAGGGAAAAACTTCAACTTCTACATAAAGACAGCATGGGCAGATTTATAAAATCTTGCTACACACACACAAAAAAAAAATGCAGTCTGTAGTATATGTTTGTAAAAGAAGCTAGTAATATATAAGTTTTAGTTGTCAAATTTTAATGTGTACATTTAAAATACTGCATTTCTTAATAGCTTACGTCTGTTTTGACTGGATTTTCCTTCTAAGGATATACTCCAGAAAGCTCATTTTACTCTATCGCCTGACTGTTGTTAACACTGTGGTTGTTGGGTGTATAAGGGCTAATATTTGGGAAGGTGTCTGGTAAACTGTGATATAAAAAAAATGTAAAGTGGTAGTGATACTAATTAAAAATAGCCTGGAGCAAAATGGATTTTTTGTTCATCGGTCCATTTTGATGCCTAATTTCATGCTGATATTTATTCTGTGGTTTTTTTCCCCTCCCCAATATATGACTGAGGTTCATTTGTGTCACTTGATGATGATACCTTTCTAGTGGAATAAATTTTGTGGGGGTCATTTATTATTACTCATTTATAATAGAGAATGCCAAAAGTAATGATGACCTTATCTTCATGTTTGAATCAGTTTTGGTTTCATAATTCCATGCTATATTTGGAATTAGTGACTCCGTCTGTTTTTCCTTTATGTAAGCTCCCCCATAATAGAGTCGTCTGCCGCATAAACTTCTATCACTGATTCTAAACTAGTGCCTAGCACAGAGTGGTTGGAGGGTCAATAGAATATAAATGTTTTTAAAAGTAGTTGAATTAGTGAAATTGCTTAGCCACATAAAAAATAAAGCTTTGGGAAGAAGCCTGAAGCTGTTTCTTACCAATCCTGTAACAGGTTATGACAGAAAATAGAAGAGAGAAAGGACCATAGACTTCCGTATCCTTAGTACCTCTTTTGGTCCTCAAAACAACTTGTGTGAAGAATTATCTCCATGGTACAGATTTAGGTCACCGGGGTTAAAGAAGTTAAGTAGCACTCTAGAGGTTACCAGCTCTAAAGTGAGAGAGCCTTAGCTACCAATACAAGACAATTTGAGTCCGAGGTCTGCTTTTCGTTCTCTTTTGCTGTTATAAAACAATTTACCAATAGCTTATTACTATGAAATGATGGTAAATATTAGTGATTTACAAGGGAGTAATCTACTGATGGAAAACATTGTGAAATATTTTATAGACAGCTGCTCTGCTTCTTACCTGCTGGGCATGATGGGAGAAGCAGGAAATGTGTGTCAGGATACCTCTGGCAGGAATCTGAGATCCAAGAGAAAGAACTGAAAGACACAAAAGAAACAATGTAAATAGTATCAGATGATATACCTTAAATTCCAAAAATCTACATGCTTTAGGAAAAGAATATGTTTATCAGACAATGATGATCCTTTCCAAACTAAGGAATTAAGAAGTATTTGTAAATGAAATGCTGTTCAACTATATCTATAAAGCATCATTCATTTAATTTATTTATTTCTTTTGCCCAACTCCCCAATACTTATTTTTTAAATAAAATAAAGTCAGTAAGTCAAATTTAAACTTCTCTTGAAATTGGAATGGTTGGGATGGGTGTTTATGTTTTTCTGTATTATTTAGGGTTCATTTGAAAGGGAAACACTTTTTTTTTTAAGGGAAACAACAAGTTTTAGAAATATGAAATTTGCAGTGAACATGATCTTCTGAATATCTTTTTAGTTTGTTTTCTGGTTTTTGGTTTTTTATCAAAATAATGTATGCACATAGTTTAAAGGGCAGATAGTCTTAGAAGACTTAAAAACTCAAATATGCTACCACCCTTTTACCCTAGAGACTACTATGAATGCTGTAGCTTTTTCTGCTATTTATAGCCAGAATCCTAAACATGTATATTTGAGTTACTGATTTTGAACATTTCCCAATTAGTAAAAAATAGACACTTTTCCCCCTTTGTAACTGAATTCACCCTTGGTCCAGGGAGAGTATGAATATATTTACCTAATAGATGGAATAATATTTGCAAACTCAAAAGAGTGTTGACAGTGTTGTCTCTCACATCTAACAATCAGCTTTAATGACTGAGTTTTAAGGCATTTATTAACTTTTTAAATTTAATTTAACCCATTTAATGTATACATTGTTAATATTTTAAAAATACCTTCCCCGGGCCCTCCCTGGTGGCGCAGCGGGTTAAAGCACAGCACTGAGAAGCTAAAGCCACTTCCGCATGAGTTCGATCCCCGCCTGCCCCGGAGGTGACCACATGGCGCGGCAGACCTCTCCTGGACCGCCCACGCTCCCCTCAGCAGCGTACTTCGTTGATCTGCCTGTTCTGCTCCCCACTCTGTCTCTGGTGAAGCCTCTCACGGCCCCTGAGCCTCTGGCCTGTACCCCAGTTCTGTATGCACAAATAAATCTTTAAAAAAAAAATACCTTCCCATTTACCTGATTTATTACAAAGTCTCAGGCCTCAGGTAGTGCCTTACATTTAATAAATCTTCTAAGACTCTCTGAATGACATAATGGTCTGTGTGCGTTTTTAAATGTAGGGAATGATTTCATAGGAGAGCTCAGGAAGGATGAAGCCTTTAGACAGACACTATACCCACCTGGCAATAGACTCATTTGCCTTGGTGGTTGCCCCATCCTTGTAGACGGTGGACTTGACCGTGGACTTGCCTTCTAGCTGAAAGACGAACTGAAGTTCCTGGCAATGCCGTTGAAAGTTCTGTCCCTTGCCCTTGTGTCCTTTCAGTCCTCTGCTCTCTTGCATTTCCCCCTTTTCATTCCTTTCTGTTACCCTGTCTTTCAAGATTGCTCACTTTTTTTTTTCATGAAAAGGCTAAGAAATAAATCCACTGTCAGTCTGTCTTCAATTCTTAATGTAGCCAACAGAGGCACTAAATTTTTAATGGTCAGGTGTTTTCCAGCACAGACTCTACTAGCCTACTTCAGTTCCAGCAAAAAAGAGACCAAATGGAACAGTCCTCCAGCCCAGTAAGCTGTTGCTATGGGCCCAGCTCCAACAAACGCAGGAAACTAGAGTGGCAGTCAGAAGCTCGGATCATTCAGCCTGATTATATCGACTGAAGGGCTGTGGCGTCGGCCTCAGTTCCCCAAATTAAATTCACCTCCAGGTGCTTCTGTGACTTACAGTGGGAGCAGATTAGTCCGAGCGCCCACTTTGTACTTCTCATTGCTTTGGGATTGGTGGAGCTTCACGGGCATTGCCGAGCCAGTCTGCCTTTGATTTAAATATGCCTACAGCTCACATTTTTAAATAGAGGTGTTTGCTCTTTGCAGACATACTTTCCTGAGAGACTTGAAGGCATATTTGATAGAGCCAGAGATGAAATATTTGTAATGCCTTATGCAAATGTTTAGTGCAGTTATGTCTTCTATGGGGTAAAGTTTCTTTTCTTTTCAATCTGTAGTCACTGGAACTTGATATTAACCTGTCATGATGTAATAGTAATACTTTCTTTTTACAAACATCTTAATTATACTATTTTAAACATATGCACATAAAAAGAATATGTAATCTGGTTTAAGAGACATTTTATGGGGGTGGGTGGGAAATGGGATCAAAAACAGTGGGGTGCGGGAAGTGCACTGGTCTATGGTGATGGCACTAGGGTGATTTGGTGACAGGAAGCCCACGGGGACTGCAACTGAGATGGAAAATGCACAAAAATATGTAAAAATAAACTATTATATTATTTAAAAGAAAAAAGAATATGTAACCTGGTTTACGGGTGACTTCTTAAAGTTCTGTGTATGAGTTAAAACTAATTTACATTAGTTTGTTAAAGCATTTTTTAAGTTTATCTAATTCTAAAGCATCTTTTTTTTTTTAAAGATTTATTTATTTGTACATACAGAACTGGGGTACAGGCCAGAGACTCAGGGGCAGTGAGAGACTTCACCAGAGACAGAGTGGGGAGCAGAACAGGCAGATCAACGAAGTACACTGCTGAGGGGAGCAGTGGGCGGGTCAGGAGAGGTCTGCCACGCCATGTGGTCTCCTCCGGGGCAGGCGGGATTGAACTCATGCGGAAGTGGCTTTAGCTTCTCAGTGCTGTGCTTTAACCCGCTGCGCCACCAGGGAGGGCCTAAAACATCTTTTTTAAAGTCATTGATTTTCCTTTCTCCCATAATCAATTTGTTGTGTTTTCCTTCATTTATTAACAGGATATCCCACAATATATAGAACAGACCCAAATTTCCTAAACTGAATTTTGACAACCGATAACTTTAAATTTACAGTAGGCAGTTTGTGACTATTACATAATAGTGGTGTGTAACACTAAAATCTCTGTACCCACATTTTCCTTTAAGCTGTAAGTCAAACATAGGTCTATTAAGGTCTTTTAGTTGCCTTTTTTATAGTATCATCTTTATCCTAAACATGATAAATCTACTCATGTTTATTGCTTTAAGTATGAATTCATAGTAATTTTCACCTCTTCAACTTTATGATTTGGCATGTTAGTTTTCACTGAGAATGTCAAATCTTGAAATGATGCCATTCTTGGATATTTTTTGGTGTTTTTTTATAGATTTATTTATATTATGCATACAAGAACTGGGGCATGGGGGGCGTTTGGGAGGAGGGTGTGAGAGGATTCACCGGAGACAGAGTGTGGAGCAGAACAGGCAGATGTACTGAATGAAATCCACTGCTGAGGGGAGCAGCAGGCAAGACAGGAGAAGTCTGCTGCGCTGTGGGTCAGCTCCTGGCCTGCTGGGGCTCTAACTCACGCTGTATGGCTGGGGTAGCTTGACAGCACTGTCTTTAACCCTGTGCCATCAGGGAGTCCCCTAAGGATAACTTGCTATTAGAGCAAAAATACTGCCTTTTAAGATGCTAATGAAAAGGCAATATAGGAGTCTACATGTATACATGTTGTGAGATAGATTTTTATACACTTTTTATATTTTGAAAGGGCAGTTTCATTAAAAGGAGAAAGGGAAAAAAGGCACCTGCATAGGCACAGGTCTTTCTTTTGTGAGTGTCAGGCTCCAGCATTTACTTTCCTTTATTTTATTTCCTTTGTAAATGAAAATAACAGTTTTGATTGTGGTCATTTGTTCTCCAGATCCTTCTAGTGGTATTTCAGGGCTACATTGTAAATTACAGGGATGGGTTTATTTAAATAAGTAAAACTGAGAATTTCATCTTTGTTTCTTTCTATTCTCACAGTAAAACAAAAGAGAATGAAAGAAGTAGATAATCTTGAAAGTGTAAAAGAAAAATGGTAAGTTATTTCAAACTGTGGGTTTCTTTGTTTTTTCTGCCTTTGTTGATCTTTATGTTCACTACATTTCAGTAAGATAATGTTTCCATTATGAGTACCTCAGTTAGGTACCTTTTGAGTAATTTTTCCTTTTGTTTTGCTTGTTTGTTTTTTTACCATAGCTGAATAGAACAGACCTTTAGTGGAGTTGTGAAATCTCGTTATTTAAAAAAAAAAAAAAAAAAGCAGTGTTAGATTTCTCTACACATTGCTTGACAATTTAAGTAACTGTTTACATAATTAACCTCTCAGGTCATATCTTAGATGCAGAGTGAAAATATGACTTTGGAATCAGGCAAACCTACCTTTAAATACAGTCTTCTATTATACTACCTCTCTGGTCTTTGAACAATTTAGGGAGATTCTTTGTTTCAATTTCTTATCTACAAAATGGTAACATATTCTTTGTAAATATTTATTAACCATGCAAATATATTTTGTTACTTTTTCATTATTGTTTTATATAATATTTGATACTATTACTTGCTGTTGTGTCAAAGGCCTCTATGAGCCTTCAAAAGGATTCATCACTCATTCCCCTGAGGTCACATATTTATTATCTAAACTTGGAAGAGGATCTAAACTGCAATCAGAGGATCTTCACTGAGACAGTTTGTTTAAGTGCTTAGACAATGGTCAGTATCAGCCCTCCCTGGTAGCGAGCGCAAGGGGTTAAAGCACAGCACTCTGAAGCTAGCTGCAGCCACTTCTGCACAAGTTCGATTCTGGGACAGGGAGGTGACCCATATGGCACGGCAGACCTCTCCTGACCCACCCACTGCTCCCCTCACCAGTGTACTTCTTAGATCTGCCTGTTCTGCTCCCCACTCTGTCTCTGGTGAATCCTCTCACCGCCCCTGCAATTCTGGCCTGTACCCCAATTCTATATGCGTACATAAATCGGTCTTTAAAGAAAAAGAAAACCATCCATACTATGTATTTCTCTTTTTTTGTGTAGGGTGTGTGCAGCAGGAACTGACAACCAGCCTCTTCGAGGTAATCAGCAGACAAGTTGTGAATATCTTGTTGACAGCCTTTTCGAGGAAGCACAGAAGGCTGGTGCCAAATGCTTGTCTCCCACTGAGCAGAAGAAACAGGTGAATGTCCACGGCTTTTTCCCTTCCATTGTTTCTTAAAATGTGCCCCTTTTTGGAATTTCCGTGCAGTCAACATTGCTTTCATAGTAACCGCAGGATATGCTTTACCTGATCCACTGTACGGGCTTTGTGTTGACTGCAAACACCATGGTGGGGAAAGTCGTAGGTGTCCTGTCCAGGGAGACTTGAGCAGTGGCACCCACAGGCTGGTCATTGCTGTATGCGCTGCTTATACTTGCAGAGTGAGACAGGGAGTTTCCATTAAGAATGGCCTTCAAGGAATAAAATATAAATTTTATTAAATTCCAGCCTTCTAGTACACATCTTTATATTCTGGATGACGAAATGTGATGTGCACTTCACTGTGATATACACAAGGCTCTTCAGGGAAAGCATAATTGTTTGAGATGCAGGCAGAACCATCTACTTTTCATGGTTTTGCTGTTTCTACATGAAAGAATGATTGGCAGACATTTTCTCAAAATGGATGAAGTAAATCTGGCGATTAAAGGAAAACAATTTATAGCATCTATTGCAAGCAAAATTTGCATTGACTTTTTTAGTGAAATTAAGAATTTTGGTAAAATACCACCAGGCACTTGATAGTACCTCAGATCTTGAAGATTTTTCTGATGAGATCATTGTGACATTAGTGACTATATATATACTCCTTTAATATTGTATACCGAAATATAACATCTAGCAGATTTACATGACTCAGAAACAGTATTTTCCAAATGATCAGCATAAGATGTTATCAACTGATGGACTTGTGAAAGAGCCAAAATGTCTTATAAAAGACTTCAGTGTAACAAATATATGAAAAGATTGAGTTTAGATCCCATTCAGATTTTTCATTGATGTTTGAGATACTTTCACTTATTCAATTTTGATGTAGTGTCCAAGAATCCCTTGAAAGGCTATTAAAATACTTCTTTTTTGCAATCATACATAATATATAATATATGTTTCAATTAAAGTATATCCCGTGGGCTGAAAGCAGTAGCAATTATGAGAATCCAACTGACTTTTTGAAGTTAGATATGAAAATGCTTTTTAAAAAATCCTTCACTCTAATTTATCTTTTATATTTAATTTGAAATTTTATCAAAAGTTAACTTCTAAAAATGGTCTATTATGGTCTGATCATTCTGAAAGCACTGTTTCTCCTTGGCCATGACATCTGCTTCCCAAGGTAACTACTCGGACTCTTAGCTATCCTGGTGCACAGTCTGTCTTTTCTAATAATGTAGTAATAGTGAGAATTTTTGATTTTTCAGTTTTACATGTTATATATTGGCTTTTTACTATAGAAAGTGAAGATTTGGCTCTCTGATTATACCTCCTACCCTCCCTAAGATGCCTCCTCTCATCCATCTAATATAGTTATAATTTTAATCATCTCCTGCTGACTTCATTTTCTTGTGCCTGTCTTTAATTCATCCCCCAGCTCTCAGACAGAAAGCTGTATTTGTCCACTGTGTCTGAGTGCATGAAGTGACCTGGCTGGTTGCCTGAGGGAAGCTGTGATGAGGTCCTGTTTTTCCCCAGTAGGCCAGTCCCCCTCTGAGGGGGCTGACAGCCCGTGGCCTCCCTGGTATCTGCGTTCCTCAGCGGCCTCTTGCTTTCTCCTGTCCTGAGGACTCAGTCCCCTGCCTCTCCCAGTCCCATCTCTTCTTTCTTCTTTCTGTTGATTATTTTCTTATGCCGTGGTCCCCACTGTTCTCCCACGTCACCCACGAGCCATTGCTCTATTTCCCTGTGTTCCTCTCTCCTACCAGTGGCTCCTAATGTCCTGAAAATAAGACATCAGTCTCACAACCTTCACTCAAATGCGTTAGTGTGTATTGCCTGCAAATTGGGACATTATCCCACAGAGCCACAATAGGGCCACCTTATTACGTGGTCTTTGTTTTTTTCACTTTCCTGTGTATTATGTAAACCTAAAACCAATACAATGTTTTATGTCAATTATTGTATCGATTCTAAGGGAAAATACAAAATAAAATACATAGTGATGGAAGTTTTCAATCTGTATTTTAACATTATGTATTTTGTTTCTTATGGGTTTGAAGGTAGATATAAATATAAAATTATGGAAAAATGGATTCACTGTCAATGATGATTTCAGAAGTTACTCTGACAGTGCAAGTCAGCAGTTTCTGAACTCCATCAAAAAAGGGTAAGTAATCTTTGTAAACAGGATATTTTAGGTGTCTTTCCATTGGAAGAATCCTTTCTCATGTTCTTACAGCCCTACACATTTACAGGCATATTTTTTCTTTTATAAATTTAGGTTTTCATGAGCTGGGTTTTTATTTCTCTGGATATGCCTATATATGAGGTAACCTTGGTTTGTCACACTGTGTCTGGTTTAGAGGGTTAAGATCAGGCCCTTCAGGTATATGTTAGCACACCATGCCCACCCCCACCCCACACCATGGCACCCATAGTCCACTGTGCCCCTTCCCCACCTTGCTGGCCTGAGGTTTCTTAAGAGTCACGGCTGTAATCTTGAAGAGCGTCTCAGGTTTAAGTTCTGACTAACCAAAACCTGACCAGTCTGATTAAACAAAATCTTTTCACTGTCATAGTGATGTCCTTTGAAGTATAAACATTTTACATTTCAATAAGGTCTGACATCTATTTTCTAGATATTCTTTTATATATATATTTTAAAAATTATAGATGTACTTACACACACTTGCTTTTGGTGTCAGATCTAAGAAACCATCATTCAACCCAAGATTTTGAAGATTTAGCCCTATGTTTTCTTCTTACCATATTTAAATGTTCATCAATATTTGGTAATCTTTCGTGATAGCATTTTAGAAAGAAAATGAATGAATACAAGTTACGAATTTCATTTAGCTATTGAAGTTCTGGTTCATGTTTATGTTTCTGCTTTCCAGAAAAGATACACAATATCCCATGGCACTCCCCTTAATGAACATTTTTATGTGAGGTGTCCATTTATGGTGTGAACTACTTATTTTGTCAATGTTTATTTCAGAAGAGTTGATAGTGACCTATATCTAACCAGCTGGGAGATTTAACTAGCGTTAAGAAAAATACGTACATGTATGCCTGTGTCTGCAGTATATCTCTGTGACCATCTCCTATACACACACCTTTCAAATATGCAGTGCATATTTTTCTGAACTTTTACATAACTCACATGTGTTGTGCAAAGTCCTTTTCCCCCTACTACCAGTTGAGAGTAAGCAACGGAGGTGATGCTTCATCATAGCATCGCCTTGTTCTGTGCACCACGTAAGCAGACACTGGCCTGTACAACCGCAGCAGCCTTCTCAGTGATGAAGCTGAGCTGATGCTTTGCTGCCTTCTAATCCCTCAGAGGTTACTGTCCGTCTCAGTGTCTCTCAGGGTAGCAAGGTCATCCAGCTCCTGTCACACATGCACGAAGATGTCATGTCTCTGCAGTCTCCTTCAAAATAAGTGTCAGAAAATCATGATACATTTGTTCTATGTTTTTCAAGCAAAAATCAAGCATCCTTGCTTTTCCGTTATTTCTGGGATTCAAAAATATCTGTGGCAAAACCGAGAGGGCTCTCTTTTTCTGCGGCTTACCTCACTCAGAGGAGCGCACATGAGCTGGCCAAAGCCGGACGAGTCCCAGTCCTGCTCTGTCTCTTCAGTCTCTGTGAGGAGGGTGAAATATGGAAGCGTTTTTAAAAATTCTAACATTTGGTATTTTACCTTTGTCATTTTCAGAGTAAATCTATATTTTCATTTAAAAATTAAAACAAGAGCCTGAGTTTTTTAGTATATTCTTAGTTATTTGTATGCTTCCAGGAACCTATAAAATTGATGAAATTGTTTACTAGTATTACATAGTCATCAGCTATTCATGACTTTAGTGCTATTCTAATACCACTAGATAATTCGTGACATTCCTTAAGTCTTAAAAATTACTCCACATTGTTCTGGGTTTTTGGCATTCATATTTTGCAACTATATTATTTTACATACATTTAGTTCTTTCATTGTGAAGAGTGTTCCATGCCTCTTATTCCTCTATATTGTCCCATTCGTTTTACATGCGAAATGTATTTTTCAGAAAGAGAGAAAACATATTGTGTTTCTTTACTTTTCAAGGGAACTACCTTTAGAATTACAGGGGATTTTTGACAAAGAGGAGGTGGATGTTAAAGTAGAAGATAAGAAGGATGAAGTATGTGTGGCAACAAAGCCTGTGTTCCAGCCCTTCTCTGGACAGGGTCACAGACTGGGAAGGTGAGTAGGCTCCTGATTTGTGTTTTCCATAAACAAAACTTACTTAATTTTCAGCTTGGCCACATTTTGTATGGAGCTTATCATTTCTCCCATTGGAAAAAGATTTTTGCCATGTTAAATTTTATGAAGACTCCTAACTCATATTTACCTAGTGTAAATTAACATGATAATACTGTACTAAAAAAATCATAAAGGCTTTTTAAAGGTTTATCAAATTGAAAGGGCCTGTCTTACTGAGGACATTAGGCAAAATTGGGTGAATTTTTCTCTTTTGAATCTACAGCTTGAGTTTTGACATTAATGTTACAGCATACAAATGGTTAGCTTTTGAACACAGGGCTCCATTTTATAGTTATCACTACCTTCCACACTGTTCTGTGAGCAGTATCTGAATTTTGACATAATAAAAATACCTGATGGGGTAATATCAATGTTTGAAGACTTTAATTGTTTTCCAAAATTTTGTTGTCATTATCTGGCCCAGCTAGGTCTTATGAAAGGATGCAAAGAGGGTAGATACAGATCACTTTTATTTTAATTATCAAGATTGGTAAGGAATGTACTTATTGACCCACACATGTAAAAATATCTGGGTGTGACTTTTAGACAAATTAAGAAATACTTAAGATTCTTTTATTTTCCCTTATAATCCAAGGACTAATTTTTTTTTTTAAAGATTTATTTATTTGTACATACAGAACCGGGGTACAGGCTAGAGGCTCAGGGGCGGTGAGAGGCTTCACCAGAGACAGAGTGGGGAGCAGAACAGGCAGATCGACGAAGCACACTGCTGAGGGGAGCAGCGGGTGGGTCAGGAGAGGTCTGCCACACCATGTGGTCACCTCCGGGGCAGGCGGGAATCGAACTCATGCGGAAGTGGCTTTAGCTTCTCAGTGCAGTGCTTTAACCCGCTGCGCCACCAGGGAGGGCCCACCAAGGACTAATTTTTATAGTGAATTTATAATTTCTTTTAGAAAATTTGACCTGGGAGTAAATTACAATAAAGTTGAGTATCAACACTACTCAAGTAGTCTATTTTGTGAGGAGCTATTCAAATAATGCTAGCAACAATATATTTACATGGTACTCACAAGCTTGAAAATTATTAGAATATATAATTTCCTTAGGTTCATATAGTCATCATAGTTGGTGGATATAACTAATATTAATATGTTTTATTTTTGAGGAAAAAGGTATAACTTTCTCTTTAAAAGCTAAATGTATTGTAAAATGTTTATAGTATGTTTATAAAATGTTTATAGTTAAATTGCTTAACAATAAAATTCAGTTCTATAGACATACTTCTGATTTTGTCATCTGAATTTTTAGTGCCACACCAAAAATTGTTTCCAAGGCAAATAATATTGAAGTTGAAAATAAAAATGATTTGTCTCTTGTCCCACTAAACGACCTGGAACCCATCACTAATATACAGATCTGGCTAGCCAACGGGAAAAGGATTGTCCAGAAATTTAATATTTCCCATAGGTAAGTCTTCCATTTCACTATTTGTAGATTGTTTTCCCTACATTTAAATTGTATTTGTTCTTTTTAGTTTAGTCAACAATTTAAAAAAACTATCCAAGGACCTTAAAAAATGGTTCTCTAAACATCTCAATTGTTACACCTTAAGAATATCTTCTTAATTGTCTTCTCTCCTAAATTGTTTTCATTTTAACTAAAAGTAGGTGATCCTGTGTATAGATTCACTTCTTTATTTAAAAGCACTAAATTTTTTTCAAGGAAATGTTATAGAAATAAAAAATAATAATGCTTGTGCACATTAATATGACAATCATGTATAATTTACCTTCCATGCCTTTCCCTAGTTGATCTGTGTGTGCATGCATGCAAACACAGGAGATAAACACTATTCTAAATTTGTGTAAAATCATTTCTTGTAGCCACAGTTTTACCAGATTCACTTGCATCACTAAAATATACTGAGTTGTTTTCTTAATTTCCAAATAATTAATCTAAAATAGTATAAATTTTAAAACAATTTATACAGAAAAGTACAGTATAAAGAACCTTTTCCTCCTAACTGCCCTGAGAATAAGATGTCAGTCTTATGACCTATCACCCAAAACACTTTGGTGTCTATTTCGTATATATGAGGAAATTATTCCCCAGAGCCACAAAAGAGCCATCTTGGGATATATTTAGCAATATGTCATGTTACCTTATGTCTGAGTTCCACATTTTCACATCTCTGAAATGGAGTTGCACCCTGTAACTGATACTAGCCTATGGCAGTGTGACACAGTTGTCTGTGCCTTAGCTTCTGCCTCAGAACTTCCCGAGTGAGTGTCAGCAGAGCCAAGAGCATCTCAACATCCACAGTAGCGGCGCACTTTTTAAAGATTCTATGTCACCATCACACCTGCTGATACAGACAGTGTGCATTATGTAGGGAAACATGTACATTAAGGACTGAATAGAGGATTTAAGTCTGTCTGAATAATGTTCAAGTATTAGAAGTGGCAATCATTGTATCCTAGTTACATTACAGAAGCATATGAGTATGTGCATATGAGATGTACATTTGATAAATGTTAAGTTTAAAGCAGTCTTTGAGTAAATAGGAACATTCTAAATGTTCAGGAAGTTGTTTTTTTTTTGAAAAATCTAGATTTGTTTAGAAGGAGGTATCTTAAAATCAATGGATCTTGTTTTTTAATGAACTATGTATACACTCTCCCTCTAAGTACACACCCACACAGGTGAATATAACTTGAGCTACCTTAAAGAATGTAGCAATTATGTTACACGATAGTGTTCACCACACTAACTGCAATGAGTACAGAGTTAAAATACTTCTTAAGTGGGTTTGAAGCATAGCATGATCTGGTATTTAAGAGATATATCCTATATCTGGATTAGGTTACTGTAGACCATTTCTGATTGATTTAGTGCTAGCTATGTCAATATAAAAACTTTCTACTCTAGGAAATTTCAGATTTATACAAAAGCAAAGAGAAGATATAATGATCCATTGCTCAGTTCACCTAAACTATTTTTCAAGCGAATCCTAGACTTCATATACTTTCCTGTGTACATATTACAGTATGTGTCTCCAAAAGATTGGACCTTTTTAAAATGTACTGTGAAGCCCTGTCACACCTAATAGTAATTCCTTACTGTCATCCAATATCTAGGGAGTCAGTCTCTAGGAGATCACCCCCATGTCATAATTTACTATTCTAGGTGTTGACGTAGCCAGCTGTCTTCATATTATTACCTTAAATTAGCAAATTTGGTTTTCATAAAACTGTATTAATGGTTTGTGCTGTTTTACAGGATAAGTCACATCAAAGACTTCATTGAGAAATACCAAGGACCTCACAGAAGCGCCCCTTTTGCCCTGGCAACCGCTTCCCCTTTCCTCAGGTTGCTAGATGAATCACTCACACTGGAAGAAGCAGACTTACAGAACGCTGTGATCGTTCAGAGGCTCCAAAAAAGCACTGAACCTGTTAGAGAACTTTCATAACACTGATTTTTGATACACTCAGTGAAAAGTTTGCAAAGAAGTGATGGCTGTGAGTGGACATGGAAACCAAAATAGGAGAAAGGAAAAGCCAGATAGGTTGGACTTTGGCTCAAGTAGTATTTAACGTCCTCCTGCCGAGAGGACCTTTACATAAGTCCACAGTAGGAAAGTAAAATATGACTAGAAACTAGAGTCAGTGCACTTTTCCCAATAAGCTGCTCAGCAAGAGAAATTCACTTCCTTTCAAATACCACTTAACATAAGATATACTTAATAAGTGTATAATTTAGAATCTTCATATGGTAAAAACTAGAAGATATGTTCACAGTATCAAACATCATTCCCAAGCAGCAGTGACTTATTTAAATGTTAACTGTTTCAGATTTCAAAAATAGCAATACATTTAAAATTTTAACATGGCAGGTTAAGAGCATCAGTGTGATTATTTTATAACTAGGATGCGATCAAAAGACTAAATGGAAGGAACTGATTTCGCTAGTTACACCTAATCCTCAAAGTTCTCAATTTACTTTCTCTAATGACAGTGTATACACAGATATTAATGTGGAGGTAATACCTGAGCTATATTTTTCATGTGTAAGAATAAGCTGTGTCACTTTAGTATACGTTACTAAGCGTATTTTTGAAATATGCTTAGTATTTCATTTTTGAAAAGTAAGGATTTTTTTTTATATTCTATTCGTCCCATCACCTATTGTACTTTCAGAAATCAGGGATCTACTCTTTTGCTAATATTTGGAGTGAACCATTTGGCACCACTCAAAATCCAATGCTATGTTTTCACATTACTAATTAATACTTTCAGGGTGCCTCTCGTGAAGTCTTATTTTTCTGTTCCACATCAGAGTCGACCTGTGTATACTTGAAAGGGATATTTATTACATTCTCATACCACTAAGGAAAATATGCTTTGTATCATAGACTTTGAACTAAAAGACATAATTATTTCACTGTCAGATGAAATCCCCCTGCCTGAAAATCAGTTTAAAAGAGTTTTTGCAAGTGATGTATTAACTCAACTTGAAAGCCACATACATAATGAGCACACCCAGGACTAATGGCCGTGGGTGTCTGGTAGAAAGAGCAATTCTCAGACCTTCTGGTCTCAAGACCTTGTGTTTATATAGGTTGTATGCATATATTATATTTTAAAATAAGTTACAAAATTTCTACTTGTTTAAAAAAACACATCTTAATATAAATAACATTTTTATGAAAGTTATTTTTCAAAACAAAAAGGACTTAGTGAGAGAAGTATTAGAGTTTTTGGGAAATACCCTTTACTGTAGATTTAAGGAAGACAGATGGTATCTCATTTTTCTGCTTCTACATCAATCTGTCGCCATATCAAACATCTAGCCTCTGAAAATGCTGCTGTATGTCCATAAAAAAAAAAGATAACATTTTAGTATGGTATGACAAGAGTTGACCTTGCAGATTCTCTGTCCGATAAAACAGTGATTCCCAGGCCCTCACAAAAGAATCACTTTGCAAAGCTTTTCAACACGCCTATTCCTGCCACCACTGCACATTTCTAGCTCATTTTTTTCTGAGGTGGGTCCCAGACCTCTGCACTTTTTAATCTTACACGATTCATACTTGAGGCACTGGTAGAAGGGCCAGCCTTCAGGGAATCCTGCACTGAGTTTTCACCCTCAGATAATAAAACCAACACCCTTCACCATGGGAAGTGGGAGACTGCTCACTGAAACGGGCTGTCATAAGTGTAACTGAGACAAGACTGGGACATTTAAGTTAAGTTTTGCTAGACTCAGGAATAACAAAAGGGAAACAAAGACTTGAACGCATGACCCGTTCTAAGATCCGTGGTCTTTTGGAGGTCCATTTTAATATGCTTCAATTCACAGCTCTCAGACTTACACAGTAGAGGTCTGTCTCTTTATTAGAAAGAGAGGGAGGATGACAGGTTTGTAATAGAGAATAAATATTTATTGTTAGTAGCTTTTGTGACTCCCTCTCTAGTGAAATGAAAGTAATGACATTCTTTTAAAAAATGAGGAGGTAGTAAAATTGGCGGACTTCTTTTTCAACAAGAAAATAACATAATATATTTCAAGAATATAATAAAACATTTCATCTAGGTCTATCATGAGGCATTTTATAATTTCTTTTGCATAAATATAGTCAAGTAGGTGATTCTTTATATATTTCTATATAGGACCTCTCTTGGGAAATATTTTTCTAGTACCTATAGAAAACCCTCTTTCATTGATTCTCCAGCTTACAATCATTAATAACAGTAAGACACATTAGAGGTTTTCTTGTACATGAGCAATATATCCCACTGAGAAGTTCCTGTAAGGAAGACCTGTCATCAGCAATAGCTGTCACTGTGAAAACTCTCATTAATGTGACTGATATTTTCTAAGGTTTTCCAAAATGGAAATCATCCTATAAAGCTTTTTATTTGAAAGTTTAAAATTAGCAAAGTTGTTAATTAAATGTGTAGAATACTCAATATGTTGGCTTTAGGAAAAAAAAAAACCTGAACTTGGCAAGGCAAACTTGAAAATGAGCGAGTATCTTAGACATGGAATACAAATTGTCTTAAGCTTTATTTCAAAACATCAATTTCTTGAAAAATTGTTAGGGTTGATATTTCTAATTTTACAGACTATTTGTTGAAATGCTATGTATCATCAAGGTTATAAAATCGATCTTATTTTATGTACTCTCAGAATATTCATTACACTGTATGGTGTTGATGGTATAGTATGTATGCATCTAATTCAGTGCCTTAAAAATATTTTGAGAGAGATATTTTGCTAATGGCTCAAGAATTGTTCTCTTAAGGATGAAATACTATTAAAAGGATCTGTGAAATATTTTACATTTGTTTGTTATAAAACAGCATTACATTTGGATGCGTTTGTCATTTTTGTTGGGCAAACATTAGGTGCCTTCTGTCTACCATATACTTTAACCAATGTTGCTTCCATTTAAGTCCCAGGAATATTCAAATGTTATATGTTCAGATGATTTTTAAATTTTTTTAACTATCCTTTGTGTCCTTAGCTGAACTAGAACAGAGACTTCTTAGTGGGGTTCACTCTTTTGTTCTCTTTCTAAATACAAACTCTTTAAGCAACTGCTCATCACACTATATCTTCAAATCAAGTGGCTTATTCAGTAGAGTAATATTTGGCTGTTTTAAAATTTTGTGTGTGTAAATAATCCTTAGTCTTGTAGAAAATTACAAAATGCAACTATGCTAAGATGATCATGATCAATGTCTATTCCACCATTCACAGATAACCACTGATGTAAATCCTTTCAAATATTTTTAAGTGTATCAGTCTCTAGTCCTGTTTTAATTAAAAGACAGGCTTGGTTACTGTAATCCTTTTTTTTTTTTTCTATTGAAATCTAAAGCTATCACTTTAAATAGAATAGTCACTATTTGGAACAAAAGGGTTTTTTGTTCATTACATTTCAGCACCACCACCCCCAAAATTGGAGGGTTTTCTTTTTAAAATAATCATCCTTTCAAAAACAAAATTGTGGTAGTATACACAGCAAGGTATAAGCATTGGAAATGAAGTGTTTCCAAACCTGCTAAAAATATGAATTGAATGATGTGTTTAAAGTAGATTATACAAAGAAACTTCAGTTTGACTTTAGTTTCCAGTGAATTAAATACTTAGTAATGCATTATCTCATCCTTCCACTGTTGATAGGGTTGCAATCAAGGAAACAGAGTACCCACTTTGTAAATTAAGAAACTGAGGCATAGGAAATGGAACAATACCCACCAGACTGGTTAGAATCAACTTCAGGATTAAATTTAGCTGTGACCAAAAATTCAAAACGGTAGTGTATTACAACACTGTTTTCCTGCAAAAGTTTAGAGGGAAGCAGTTAAGGAGGCGTAGACCCACCTCATGATGTCCTAGATGCCTGGAGTGTTAATCTGCCAGTCCCCACACCAGCTGGCTTGAGGTCTGAGATAGCGGCTCTGGCCATCTGGAAGTCACACCAGCCGCATTTGCATTGGACTCAGTGAGAGAAACAAGTGCACACTTGCAGCCCCTTAAAAACGAAACACTGCTCTCTGGGTATATGATCCCCCTGCCTTCCACTCACTCATTTAATTAAAGTATTCAATTCATCGGCTTCTAGTCTGGCCACAGGGTTGTGTCACCATCACCATAATCCAATCTAATTTTAGAACATTCTCATCCCTTTTAAAGAAACCCAAAATGAACATCAGCAATTACTCTTCTCCACCCTGAGTTTTGGGCAACCACGAAGATCCCCTATTTCTGGACATTTCATATAAATGGAATCTCATGTGTTTTTTGTGGCTGGCTTGTTTTCACTTAATGTAATGCTTTCATTAGACACATTTCATGTCCTTTTCATTATTAAATAGTAGTCCATCGTATGGCTATAAACGCCACATTTGATTTATCCACTAGTTGGTAACATCTGGGTTGCCTCCACTTTTAGCTATTATAAATAAGGTACTGTGGAGCATTTATTCAAATTCTGTGTAAACATGTTTTCATTTCCCTACGGTATAGACGTAGGGGTGGAATTGCTGGTCATCTGCCAGTTCCACATTGAACTTTTTTAAGAACAAACATTTCCAAAACAAGCAGCACAGTGTACACATCCACCGGCAGTGTATGAATTTCCACAGCGTTTGTCGACTTCTACGTCTTCAATTATGCCACCTAGTGGAGTCGTGGCTGGTAGCTCTGATTTCCCTAAGGACATGAACATCTTTGCATGGGCATGCTGTCTGACTCCCTCTGGGGAACCGACCAGCCTTTACCCATTTCTGAATGGGCTTGTCTGACTGGGCTATGCTCATTACAAGTCTGGGGCTTTGCAGCTCTGTCTCCCATTCTGTAGCTTGTCTCTGGGGCATGGCTGGCACACGAACTTCTTGTAATTTTAGTCCAAAGAACAGTTGTCCAACCCAAGATTAATAAGATTTCTTCTTGTTTTCTAGAAGCTGCAGAGTTGCAGCCTCACATTTCGGTCTGTGATTTCTTTTGCAGTTCGTTTCTATGTGTGATGTGCTCCCGCTGCCTTTCTGGCTCTTTCTGGGCGTGCCAGAGTCCCTGAGTTCCTGTCCGGTTATAGGACCGCACCTGACACGTACCCGAGATGGGGAAACTGTGCGTTAGCTGCTGGTGGCAGATCCAGGGGCTTTAAAGCCTATTCAGTCATGAGATTAGTCTACACAAGTCAGTTACATTGCTTGGATTTCTTTTTAATCTTTCCCAATTTTCGCCCCGAGGAAGTAGCGGGAAGGTTGGCGGGCACCAGAGCAGGCTCTCCCCTCTTGGACCCGACCTGAAACGGGCCCGAAAGGAACTTGCTGGCCTTTTCCCGAATTTCGCCGAATCGAGGCGCTCGGCGTCTCCCAGGGGAGCAGCAGCCCCCGCGCTCCCCGGCGGCCGTTCCCGCCGCACCTGCAGCCCCTGCGGCGCCCCTCTGCTCGGAGCCGCCCTCCCGGCAGGCGCCGGGGCCCGCGCCGATAACACCGAGCGCAACGTCCGCTTTCCCAGTTGGAGTGCAGTGCGCGATGGCGGCGTCCCCTGGAGGGGCCCCGGTGTTAGCGGAGGAGGAGGTGTCGGTGTCGGCGTCGCCGTCGCCGTCCCAGTCTGAAGAGCCCACGTTGGAGCCAGACTCGGTGAGCGCAAAGCTAGAGGGGGAGGGGGTCCAAGCGAGGCCCCGGGCTGGGCTCCTGCGGGGGGGCGGGGGGGGGGGCTGCAGCCCCCAGGTTTGACCGGTCGCAGCCCTGTGGCCAGTCAGAAGCAGCCTGCCGGCCCCCAGTCCCAAGGAACTCTGGGCTGTGGAACTGCCCCTGTCGGGCCTGGGTGGTCAGTGTCCCCAGAACAGGCGTGGGAACATCCTCCTGGACCGGTGAAAACCAGCACTAGGCACTGCGACTGTCAGGGGCACGGGGCTGCTGATGCCCAGGCTAGGGCTACTGTCCACTATTCTCCAGGCCAGCCGGGAGGGTTCCTGCACCCTGGGCAGGTAGGACCTTCCTCTGTGCCTGAGGTGGCCACTTCCCTCACTGAGGCTGGACTTGGCCACCCTCTCAAACCCTGGCAGCCCAGGGGCCAGGTTCTTCTTGGAGAGCCAGTCCCAGAGAGGACCTTCCTGCAGCCAGGCCACCTAGTGAGGGTAGAGGGCAGGTGGGCCCTGGAAGGAATCAGACCTCTGAGCTGTGTGTGTGGCCCCAAAGTCAAGCCTGTTTCCTGTCCACTGTCACTGCGTTCACTGTTTCTGTGGCTTCGCCTCACCACCACCTCAGTGCCCTGCATCTTGCTCAGTGTATTCTTTCAGCACTTCAGAGTGAGGAATTGAGGTCCCCCACACCCACCCTCTGGAAGGACAGTGAGATTGAGGGGACCCTCTGTGCACTCTCACTTCCCAGGGAAATTTGAAATTGGACCTAAGATTAATGGCAAAAGAAAACTAGCCTTGCCAATGAAGTGCCAGTATTTAACTCCCAGAACACCCCATGAGGCCTGTTTTACATGAGGGAAGAAGCTCAGCAGCTCGCCCTGAGTCACACAGCTAGCAACTGCAGGCACGAACTGTGAAACTTGTCTCAGTCAGTGGTGCAGGACTTAGGATTTAAGCAGGCAAGACTCATCCTCAAGGTTCTGAGATGGTGTCACAGAGCCAGTTTCAATAGGAATTTCTTTGTTTTCCAAGTGCATTCTGTGGGCTAGAAACTTGCTGGGCATATTTAGGGAGGAAACAAATTGCATCATGAGGTGGGGGTTAGGGGCTGGATTCTCTGTGTTAAAGTTTTCTGGAAGTTGAAATAATATTCATACAAATGCCAGAAAAGGAAACCACATCCTGCCACGTGGATTTCTTCTGTGGGTAGGAAGCGTGTGCAAAGGATATGATAAACTTTTATCTGGGAAGACCATTCCTTCAGAAAGCCCATCCGGGATGTCCTACAAGATAACAAAATGGGTGAAGTCCTCCCCCATCCACTCTCTCCCAACCCTAAGCAGCAGATGAAAAAGAAAGATTCCCAGTGTGTTCAGAGGAAATAACACTTGACACTGTGTCTTCATTGCCTTGATTCCACCACAAACATATAAGTGAGCATCTACTATATGCTACATATTGTTTTAGGTCCTGGGAACACAATGGTGGGGGGGAAAGCTATAGTTTGTGCTCGCAGAGCACTTAATTCTAGTGGAAGAGGCAGGATCTAAATGAGAATGTATGGGTACAGTTGAGAGCTATTTGGGTGGTTAGGGCAGACCTTTCTGAGGAGCTAGCCTTTAGGTTTAGACCCAAATGACATGGGGCCAGCTCTGCAAAGATGCGGAGGGAGTTCTGACAAGAACAGGAAGTGCAAAGGCCCTGAGGCAGCAACAGGCAGGTGTTTGAGAAGGGCTACCCAATGGGGAGGGGGTGCCGCTGACTGGGGGAGCTCGGGTAGGCTCTATTAGACATGACCTGATTGATGTTGAAAAGATTGCTTTGCTGCTCGATAGAGAGTGGATACGAGGGAGTGAGCAAAAGCAGCGAAGCCACTTGGGGCGCTCCCTGAGCTTATACAGGAGAAAGGCAGAAAGTAGTCAGGGATGTAACTGTGACTCTTCGGCTCAGTCGGAGCTGCTGATAGACACTGTGACCACTGAAAGCAACGGGCTTCCCAGGGTGAACACAAGGGGCCCCTTGCATAGACAAGGCGGGGATCGGGGCTGGGTTTTGAGCACGCTGAGCTGAGATGTAAGCTAGGCAACCTCATGGAGCTATGAGTAGACCTCTGAATATCTGAGTCGACAGATCACTGGAGAGCTTAGGATATACACACACACACACACATACACACACACAAGAATTTGGGATCACACATTATTGCTTCATTTTGTGGTGGACTGTTAGTCTTTTCAGGAAAAAAAAACCCTAGGTGATTAAAATGTTCGATGATTTTTGTGTTTATATACTCTCACCATGGCTGATTCTAGCTGCCAGCTGTTGACATCGGCATACAGAAGTCTTGAACAAATAGTTAACAGTCAGCTCCTGAAGGCACAGCTTCATTTGCTCATAGAAGCAACCCTGTAAAGTTGACGGGAATATTCCACATGACGCATGAGTCCCAGAGAGTTAGAGTGACTTATTCGCTGACACACAGCTGCTGGTTGGGGAAGCTCAACCCAGGTCTCCTGACACCTTCAGTTCACGCTAACTGGTTGACTTAGGACACTGAAACAGAGGACAGCAGGAAGTTCTGAAGGGAAAATAGAAGGAAGATCTTCCCACTTCCCTTTCCCACTTCCCTTTATTATGATTGGGGACAGATTAGGACGAAGAGGTTGCTGTAAACATTCTCAAGACAGGTTCTCCCTGGTGGCATAACGGGTTAAAGCACAACATTATGAAGCCACCCACAGCCACTGCAGCGCTAGTTCAATCCCTGGCCAAGGAGCTGACCCAGATGGCACAGACCTCTCCTGTCTCTGCTGCCCCCATCAGCAGTGTTTCTGTCGATCTGCCTGTTCTGTTCCCCACTCTGACTCTGGTGAGTCCTCTCACCCCCCTGTACCTCTGGTTTGCACCCCAGTTCTGTATGCAGAAATAAATGTTTAAAAATTTCTCAAGACATCCTGAATAACCTAAGATACTTAGCGAAGTCAAGGGGTGGGGACTCGGGGAGCTGTGGCGTGACTAGAAGTGGAGACTTAGTTCCTATGTTGCCCCCAGGAGAGCAGAGCTGAGCGCCTCTCATTTTGTACGAAGATGTGCTATGGCATTGGCGGGGTCCCCAACCAGGTGGCCTCCAGCGCCACCTCCTTTTACCTGCAGCTCTTTCTGCTAGATGTGGCACAGGTGAGTGCGGGCAACAGCCCAGGGTCTCCTCTGCCCCCTCCTCCCTAGGATCTGGCCCTTCCATCCCCACTGTCCTTGTAGATAATATATCTGACCCAAGTCTGACCAGAGACATGCTAGTGAAGGCAGCCTCCTCAAGAACATTTATTGCAGGCTGTTTGTAGGAGAATGGGAATGCCCAACATATAGAAGCCGTGAGGTAATAAGTTGTGCAGTCTTCATAGAATGAGCTATTATGCAAAAACGTGAATTAGACATTTCCAAATGAGGAAAATCCACACAAATGAGAAAAGTCCATTTTACAGAAGAGTAAGTAAAAATTTTAGCAAACCAAAAAGACGCTTCATCTATGTATGTGCATGGGTCTTCGTACCCATGTGTGTACCCAATTCAATCATGGGCAGGGAGTAAACAACAGGAGGAAACACACCAGGATGCTAATGTTGGCTCTGGAAGGAAGTGGTAGAGACTAGAAGGTGAGGAAAAAAGAAAGCTTTTTCTAAGAAGCCCACCATTTTGATATGGCACTGATACCTCATTCATGTGTAATTAGGAACTGCATATGCATGAAAGGATGCGCATCAGCATGGTCCTAACAGGCACTCAGCATGGTGCCATCTCAGGTGGCCTTTGCCCGCTGTATGGTTTGAATGTTTTTATGACTGGATCATCTCTGTAGTCAGAAAAACCAATAAAACATTGGCATTGCGAAACAAAATGTCTACCTGTGACTCAGCCTAGGTGCCCCTTCTCACTCTGAACCAGCTCTGGTGAGGGTCCCTCAGGGCTTGTCCCACAGGACACAGCGCTCCGGGCGACCCCTCCCTGCGCTTGCTCCTCTAGGGGAGATGTGCCCTGAGACCCTTCTGGACTCGTGGGGGCAGGAGGAGGGGGTCTCCCCCCATCCGGTTTCTGGCTCTTCCTTGGGGGTGGCAGTGCCGGGGTCCTCCCTGACTCTGTCAGGCTGCGGCTGTCTCCTCCGTCCCTTTCAGATCTCCGCTGCCCAAGTGTCTGTTGTCATGTTTGGAGGGAAAGTGTCTGGGGCAGCCGCCGACCCCGTGGCTGGGTTCTTCATCAACAGAAGTAGGAGGACAGGGTCTGGACGACTCATGCCCTGGTGAGCAGCCCCACAACCTTTCAGAAACTGGCATCCACCCCTGGCCTGAGGTCGCCGCGTCACAACCCTGCTTCTTAGTGAAAAGCCCCGTAGACCATTGTCAGATAAGACCGGACTCAGTGAGTCACACAGGCGTTCAGGGACATTCTAGGCATGCGCCCTCACCAGATGGCACCGGCCAGACAAGGCCTTCCAGACTCCTGGGCTGGCCCAGGGCTCTTAGAGTGGCCAGGGCAGGCTGGAACCATGTAAGTTCTCAGAGAGGAGCACCCAAGCACTCTGGCGAGAGCCCTGGCAACCAATCCCCCCCCTTACCCCCTTCCCCCGACTCAACACCCATTAGCCATTCTCTCTCTATGGCTCCCCAAGCCTCAGCTCAGGGCTTCTCCATCCGGAGAACAGTGCCCAGGAGGGGTGCTCCAGACTTGCCCTCTGGCCCCCTGTGCGGGTGCCTGGGGGTTCCACCTCAGTGGTGCCTCCTCAGGGTGCTGGGCTGCACACCCTTCATCTCCGTGGCCTACTTCTTCCTGTGGTTCCTGCCCCCCTTCACCAGCCTGAGAGGTGTCTGGTACACGACTTTCTACTGCCTGTTCCAGGGCCTGGCCACGGTAAGCAGGCACCCCCAAGAATCCTGCACTCTGTGTGTCTGTGGTAGGCGACCTCCAGGGACCGACTTGTGCTCCTGCTCACCAGTGTCCGGAATCTATCAGTAGCTCCCAGCTCAAGGCCCCCTTGTCCCCCCCCACACACACACACAGAGGACTGGGAGTGGGGAGCGGTGGGCACAGCTGCAGAAGTGGGGGTGCCCAGGCACTTTGGGGGGAGGTGGCCATCTGAGCTCTGTGGGCCCCCCAGTTTTTCCAGGTGCCCTACACAGCGCTCACCATGTTTCTGACCCCCAGCCCGAGGGAGCGGGATTCGGTCACTGCCTACCGTGAGTGGGGAGCACCTGGAGCAGGTGGGAAGGTGCAGGTCTGGTTGGGGCCGGACATCACCGCGTGTCTGTCCCAGGGATGACCATGGAGATGGCCGGGACGCTGCTGGGCGCCGCTGTCCACGGGATCATCGTGGCAGGCGCCCACGAGCCGCACTATTGCGAAGACGATGAGCCCCGGGGGCCGGTCGCTGTGTCACCCAATGCGGTAAGTGCCTGGGAGCCCCACTGAGCTCCCCTTTCCTCTGCCACCGTTTGCCCGGCTTCTCCCTGTGGGGCGCTCCGTGGTCACCCGTAGTGGGGACAGGCTCTGCCTGCCCACCCACCGCGCCCCTCATTCCTTCTCCGAGGCCCTGGCTGTGCCCGAGAAACCTGCTTTTCCTCCCAGGCTGCCTTGAACCGCAGAAGGAAAGAGAAGGGACTGGGAGCGGGGCTGCAGCGGCCGGCCAGAGAGGACAGCGAGGGGGCTGGGGCAGCGGAGGAATGAGGTCCTTGCAGAGCTGGGGCAAAGCCCCTCCTGTGACCCCAAGGTGCCTTGGGAGCCGACCTGGGACATCGAGGGCAGCACCCCCTCTCGGAACCCTGAGCCAGGCTCCAGTCCAGCCTTCTAGCTCCTCCTCCAGTCCTTCTCGTTTTTTAAAGCAAGAACATCCCTAGGGCAAGAAACCCACATTCCAAGCAACCTTCATTCTAGTTGGTTGCTGGTTTCTGGTTTTGGTTTCAGAGAACACTGGTTTCCAGGCTTGTGTAGGATTCAGAGGTGCAGAGCCACACCCCTTTAGAGGGTGTCACCCCACCACACCCACCGCCAAGGCACACCGTCCAGCGTGGGCCTCAGTTCTCAGCTAACTGGTGGTTATCGGTGGTTTGTTTGCCTGAGCCGGGGCTCCGGCTCTGTGTCCCTCCAAAAGCTCGCACTGTGCAGGCCGGCCTTTCTCCCGCCTTGGTCTGCCTGGCGTATCCCCTCCAGTTCCACCCTGGCTGTGAAATGCAGGAATCCATGTTGTGGCTGTAGCTGTCATATCCGCGTGCGCCTCCCCTTCCCCGCCCGCCGGCCCCCAGTCGCTCTCAGTATTCATCTGGGCCTTCGAGCATCATTCCAGCTGTCCCCGCCTGCCCCTCCCACATGCCCAGCCCCTCATGCTCACTTACCCACGCAACCCCAGAGTTCAGCATGCACAAGCCACAGATTTAGTGCTTGCTTATGATAAACGAGGAAACAGTCCTTGGTTTGGGCTGAGGGCTGCTCCCTGGGAGGCACTCTTCCCCTGTCCCGGGGACACCACCCCACCCCACTTCTGTCCTGTCCCGCAGACTCGTCTCTACTTCATTGCAGCCACCGTGGTGGCTATCATTTACCCTGTGTGCAGTAGTTTGCTCTACCTGGGGGTGAAGGAGCAACCAGGTATGGGGGTACAGTGAGAAAGAAGCTGGGGGCAGGGCTCCTCTTGGGCTGGGTTTTGGTTTGAACTCTGTGAAGCCAAGGGGTCACCTTCCTGTGTTGCAGACCCCTCTGCAGCACATGTAGGACAAGGCCTGAGCTTCCTGGCTGGACTGCGCCTCACTGTCAAGCACCCGCCCTACTTGAAGCTGGTGGTCTCCTTCCTGTTCATCTCAGCTGCCGTCCAGGTACCTCTGGCTAGGCTGACCCCACAGGCGTAGCTCTCGCCACATGGACCCTGTGTGGGTTCAGGTCCGGTCTCAGCCCCACAGCCCTCCAGTTACCCTTGAGTTTTAATAGGGTAAAACCAGTGTCTGCATCTGGTCCACACTGGTTGGTGTTCTGTGGAGAGAAACTGAGGCTGAGCTTGTGGGACTGGGGAGGGTCAGGCCCAGGCCCTAGGAAGCTGAAGGTGCCGGGTAGTAAAGCCCCCCATCTTGCTGTGCCAAGGGAACGTGGACTAGGACAGTGTTTACACTCACGTCAGGTCAGCGTCCTTCTGGGGAGGGGCTGCATGATGGCAGCGGCAGCCAGTCTGAGGTCCCACGGGGAGGCCAGACTTGAGGCCCAGGCCTTGCCCTGGACTTGCTGCCATTCCCTGCACACACCCACTTCCTGTCTGCCTCCTCAGGTGGAGCAGAGCTACCTCGTCCTGTTCTGCACACACGCCTCCCGGTTACATGACCATGTCCAGAGTCTGGTGCTAACCATCCTGGTGAGGGGGCTTGGGTGACTGTGACACTGTGACAAGGTCACTGTAGCGTCTGCAGTGGGGACATCTGTAGTCCTCGACACGACATATCCTCAGCCTTCTGTGGGTTAATGTTCTATACCCTGCTTTGGTCTTATTGCCCGCATTCCACAGAGGGTGGCATGGGGACCAGGGTCTTAAAGACGGTAACAACTAGGGCAAGCAAGGACTAGGTCGGGTGTCTCCCCTCACCCTTCACCCCGCGCCCCGTCCCGCCCCCCCCCAAAAGCCAGGGCCTTGAGAACCTGGGGAAAGGCACTGGCAGCATGTCCAGGCTGTGGCGATTCTGTCTGCTCACAGGTCTCGGCTATGCTGAGCACCCCAATATGGGAGTGGGTTCTACATCGATTTGGGAAGAGGATGTCGGCCTTGGGGATCTGTGTGAGTAAGGCAGGAAGCAGGGCCTGGGGAGGCTGCGGGCGAGACTTCTGGGAGCTGGGACCTCTGGCCTGCAGGGTGACGATTCTGTATTTGCTCAAATGTTCAGTGCCGAGCACAGAACCAGGCACTGGGCGTGGGGGTGATGGGAGGTTTGGAGGTCACGGGGCGGGATGGGGTTTTAGTGAAGACCAGCGAGCATGAGCGAGAGAGCGAGTAGGGCGCAGGTGGAGGGCCAGTCGTGTGTCTGTCTCCCCAGGCGATGGTGCCTTTTGCAATCCTGCTGGCTACGATGCCCTCGGCGCCTATGGCCTACGTTGTGGCCTTTGTATCTGGCCTGAGCATTGCTGTGTCCTTGCTGCTACCCTGGTAGGCCGCGGGAGGGCCTGGGGGGGACTCGCGTATGCCCCCTTCCCATCAACTGTTGTCCAAGGCCCCCTTGCCCAGCCTGTGCTGAGGAGGGGCTTTCCCTCTGGGAGAGATAAAGGCCAGCAGCTCTCTCTTCCGAGCCCCAACAGAGCACCAGCCCGCCAGAATGGGGCGCTTGTGTGGCCTGGCTCTCAGTGCATCAAGAGGGACCCAGGGAGGCCCCAGGCTGGTGCCTGTCAAGGGGAGAATAAGGATGACTGTGCAGCCCCCATCCTAGGTCCATGCTTCCAGACGTGGTGAACGACTACCAGCGGCAGCGCGAGCACGGGCCAGGCCTGGAGACCATCTTCTACTCCTCCTATGTTTTCTTCACCAAGCTTTCAGGCGCATGTGCCCTGGGCATCTCCACCCTCAGTCTGGGGTGAGTCCCAGAGTTGGGGTGTATCAGAGGCAAGAGAGAGTAGGCAGGGTGGGCAGAAAAGGCCAGAGTCCCGCACCCTAACCAGCCAAGAGCCACCCTGAGCCTGCTCGTTTGGAAAGTGGGAGCCACTCCCCAGGCTTCTGTGCAGTCTTCCTTGGGGGTGATGACTCCTCTGAACTCTCAGCTCCCACATGCTCAGCTTTCTCTCTACCCTGACCAGCCCATTGCCTCAAAGCCCTCTTCCACTACAGTAGGTTGACGGGGCCAGGAAATTACCCCAGTTTCAGGAGACTGTGGCACATCTGGGACCTCTCCCCCAGAAAGCCAGTTTCTGTAGGATCTGAGCTGGATGCCACTAGAGTGGTGCTTTTTTCAGGTTTGCAGGGTATAAGGCAGGAGCCTGCAAGCAGACGGAGGAAGTGGTGGTGACCCTCAAGATCCTCATTGGGGCCGTGCCCACCTGCATGATCCTGGCTGGCCTGTGGATCCTCCTGGCAGGCCCACCCGAGAGGAGCCAGGCCAGTACACCACACCAGCTGAGCCTTCAGAGGTGGGCACCCCCCACGCACTGGCACCTGCAGCAGGCTCCGGATGCCCAGGGGCATGACACCCCACGAGACACTGACTCCCAGCTCCCAGGAATCTGTGAAACTCACAGACCTACCTCCCCA